AGCGTTCTCATCGCCGAAATGGCCGTGATAGTGATTTATCTCTGAGGATTCAAAACTACGATGCACGTGTTGACTCATGATCAGTGGTCTTCTATGATCACCATTATCATGTAACGCCCCATGACATCTGGGAAAGAGCAGGGTTAAGGAGCTTTGCCACGCTCTCACACTGGTGTTCACACAGTGGTAACTGTGCTTTCCTGAGTCACCCAGTGGTAGCAGAAGGCATGGACTGCGTTTTCCATGGAGAAGGGCTTTCGTACTCCCAGTTCTAAACAATCTGGGTAGTGCCATAGCCCAGATCAGATGCTGGCAAATGGCTGAGTTGTGCTTTTTATTAAGATCTGTTCAAAAGAACAATGCTGTCCACAAAGGACCATGCTGTCTGCCAGATTAAACACTGAACTTACCCAATAGCATAAGTTACCTACCTCAGAAAGAAGAATAAATCCATTTTCCCGAATCAAGCTTTAGAGGCTTAGTGACTGATATCTGTAACTCAGTCTATGATTCTAAGGCTTAGAAATGAATGAATGGTTCAGATCATTGTCTCCTCAAAAGACTACTAAATGTTCTGGCAGACTTCAAATGCATCCCCGAGGATCAAAAGAGAGAAGGCCAGCTTTCTACAAAGCTGTATCTTCAGTGTAGGGCTATGTGGGATAGGATGTAAAAACTCATTTATGCTGCGCTACAAGGAGGACCAGAAGCTGTGCTTGTAATATTAGCCCTCATTTTTCTACCTGGCTGTCATGTCTGATAGTCCTATGGTAAACCAAGGGCACAAAATGACTTTCTTCACTTTCCTGCTTTCTGCAGTTGCTGCTTGGGGAAAGACGAGGCCACAGGGGTATTGCTACACACAGCAACCCCCCCCCCCACTGGTGATCACCAGGAGAGGGGGCAGCTGAGTCATCCTGCGTGTGTCTTGGAGGAAAAGGAACTAACAATATGCAGTTTCCAGAAACCATTACAGAGGGGCAGACATGTCTCTTGAACTTAACTACACCTACCCTTGAGTTTTTGTAAAATCCTTACAAAGGAAGTATTAAGTCATTAAATCCCGATTTCTAGAAAATCAAGTCTTTGAGAACTTGTTTTGAGACTTGTGTAAAGTCACAGGACTCCTGAGCAATGAAGTGGAGCTAGGCCTGGTAGTGAGGGCCTGCAATCCAGCTGCTCAGGAGGCTGAGCAAGAAGGACCACTAATCGAGGCCTGCTGGGCAACTGAGTGAGACCTAGCTTCAAAACAAACCATGAAAGGAAAAAGGCAGTGGAGGTACAGCTCAGGGGTGGAGCATTGACTGCGCAGGCGTGAGGCTCTGGGTTCAATTCCTAGTCACGCGTTAAAAAAATAGATGAAGGGACGATCTGAGCCCAGAGTCCATATGAGAGGTAACTGGGTAGAGTGTTCTCCCCAAAGCCTCAGATTCAACCCCCAGCACCTCATGAACTGGGTGTGGTGTGTTCCTGTGATCCCAGCACTGGAGGCAAGAGATCCAGAAGCTGAAGGCCCTTGTCAGCTATATAATGAGTTTGAGATCAGCCATGAGACCCTGTCTAAAACAAACAAATAATGATTTTAAAGAAATTAACATCAGAACTATAACTCCCAACCTACTATTGTTTTCAACCAGTGGCTAAAAAAGCATAACACCAAGGCTCCAAGGCTTGTATAAGAGCTCCCAGAGACTGACAGTGGGATTAACCCTGCACACAGACCATACACTTACTCTGTCCTTTCATCTGGCAGGGCTGCCATTAGCTTCATGCGGTTAATGCAATTTAAATTAATGGAAAGGCAATTTACATTTTGGTCCATTGCTGTTGCACTTGAGATAGCTCCTTTTGGCTGTCAACCTGACTGCCCCTGGAATTAACTGAAACTCGAGCTGCCGGCACTCCAGTGAGGGAGTTCTTGAACAGGTTACATGAAGCTGGAAGGCTCACTCTAAACCTGGGTGGCATCTTTTGGCAGACACCCAGATTAAAAGGACATGGAAGATGTGAGCTTTGCTTTCTGCCTGCTTGCCCTCACCCTCACCGGCAAGTTCTTCTATCCCGTCTCTGAGACATTCCTTTGCCGGTGTGAGGAACAGTTTCTTTGGGATTCTAATACAGACTGTAGACCCGCAGCTCTCCAGGAATCCCCCAGGCCTTCAGCACTGGACTGGGGCCACTCAGACATCCAGCCTTGTGGACTGAACAACTCCTGTTTTCTCGGCCTCTTGACTGTGATACAGCCATTGTTGGATTCCCTGAACCACATACATCCTGTAAGCTAGTTTAATACCTCCCTGTACAACTTCCCAGTAAGTATGTATGTATGTATGCATGCATGAATATATGTATATCAGTTCTGTTCCTTTAGAGAACCCTCACTAATATAGCACTATATCTTACCTATAGACCAATGATCTGTGACGTTCATTACATTTAATCTTAATTAATCTAATTTTAATAGTTACACATGGTTGCTAGTTACCATATCGGACAGTGCTGATCTCCGGAGTCTTTTTTTCTCAGCCTCCTCACACATGGCTCCATGCTTCCCTTCAGAAATCAGAGGCAGAGGGAGTGTCCGCTGACGATTTTCTGAGAACTACAGGGTAAACACCCCCTCATCTCTTCCTTAGAACTGGAGACTGTGTGTGCTTTCTTGGCCTTCCTCAGACTCCTACCTTGATGCCCCCGATTTCCTCATAAGATCCCCTAATGTTCTGGTCAAAATAGACAAACCCAGAACATGTTTTAAGACAACAATACACATCGGAACAGCAAGGAGGAGCTAGCAAACACAGATTCCCGGGCTCTGCCTCTGGTGAGCTGTGCTGCAGAGGCGCTGGGGAGAAGGCTGAGGAGCACACATCTCACCGCATGTCCCAGTTGTTCTAGGGCACGTGGTTTTGCCTGAACCAGCTTCAGAGGCTGAAGAGCATATTTACCTACACTCCTCTTATGATTATAGCATGAGTGTTCCTGGGAAGTCCTCGCTGCACCAATTGCTTATTTCTACAATGTCAGGGAAGGTGCTTATTCACCCAAGTCTCATTTTTTCCATCATCAGAAACAGGGGGGTAAGAACAGCTGAGCTTTGTCTTCTGGGACATGTGGGAACACAGTTAGTAAAAGCTTCCGAGGAGAGAGACAAGGTAAAACTCATTGTATAGACATCCTACGACTCAGGCTTTTGTTTGTCGTGGAGAGGGTTCAAATGGATTCCACGTCTTTAAAAGTCTGTGTTTTTAACTGCTCTGAAAGATCTAATCAAGTGGGGGCATATGATGGCAGCAGCTGCTGGGTTAACAGAAAGCGTGGCTCTGGAGTCAATGGGGCAGCTCCTTGTTCATCCCTGGAACAATGGGGTCAATAGCCAAGCCTGGTCAGGAGGGGTCATGCAGGCCCTACTCCTTCCTGCTGAACTATTGGCTACTGAGGGCTCTGGGAGGGTGGGGAGTCATTATCTTTGGATGTGTACCCTCCAAGCTCCCGTGGGTAGTTCCATGCTCATGGTCACAGTCACTCAGAAAACCTCTGGTTAAAACTCAGTGGGTCCCAAAACAAAACAAAACAAACAAAACAAAACGACATGGACATGAAGAAGGGACCCATTGGGAGGAGGGAAAGAGAACAGGCCTGAGAGGGAGATGAGAGGTTGGGGCAGGAGAGTAATCAGAATATGCTATACACATACATGAAGTTAGTTGTCAAAGGGCAGATTTAATTAATTTTAAAAAACTGAATAATGCTCAAACTTTTTGGTTCTGATTTTACAGCTCAGAAATAAGAATAATGATGTTTTCCTTGTAGTGTTGTGACAACTTAATTAATGGCTAATATTTGTGTTGTGCCCAGAACAATGGTTGGCATGTGGTAAGAACTGCATGCATTAGCTGAGACATTCCTGTTTATGATAACTGGCAGCAGGGGCTAAGCAGCAGCTGAGCCCAGCAGAAGGGGCTACCAGAGTTTACCTTCTCTATTCACAGTCCGAGCATGCCTCACCCAAGGCCTACAAGGAGATGTCTCTATGCCGCAATGACAAAAGGGTGTAGACCCCAGACAGCTGACTGTGAGACCAGGTAGGAAGGTCCACCTGTGACTCCGATTCTCCGCTGTTCGAGAGACAGAAACACTACTACACCGAGTACACCCTAGGTCATTCTTATCCAGGTGCAGACTAACACGTGGCTCTGCTGAGCCTGACTGAAACACTCCCGACAAATGACTCACTGGTTGAGTCTGACACAGCCCTCTGGCCGGCTTGCATACCCTGATCAGTAAGAGAAGCACACAGAACGTACAGTAAAGCCACGGTCATTGTAGGCAACTGTCTGATCTCTATAGCCAGCTGGAAAACTGTTAGAGACAGTATCCTGGGATGGTCTGCCTCCATCCTGTTCCTTTTAGTCAGCTTTCCTCCTCATCTGCATATTTCTCTGTATTTCATATACATATTATATATATTTAATATCTACATATTACATTTTATTTGTATATCTTTGAGATACTGGGCTTCTCAAACACCACCAGGCTGGGGCACTTGCATCCTAAGCATGTGGTAAATACCACCACCTTATAGCTATTCTTCCTCATGAATGCTGCTGGCCAACCTTCCGCCTTACCGCTGGCCACCCCTACAACTTTGCTCTATTCCTCCCACATACACAAACAATGCCACTGTCAAGTAGTCCAAAGGCAATGATGGGTGGGCGTGGTAGGATGCACATCAGTCTGAATGTCACCAGAAGAAATGCCACACAATCTCCAGAGCCCCACCTGGAAAACCCAGAGAAGGCATCATTTCTGACTTGGCTCCTCTCCTTCTACCAAGAGCATTTGCCCACCCCTAAACCTCATCATGTACCGCAGGCATCCCGACTTTGAACTCAGGCTTCTTCTCTATTAGAGACATTAAAGACGGAAGTCAACCTTCCTCACCATCCATGTGGAAGAGGACATTGTATAGAAAAACACTGTAGTGCCTAGGACCAACCTACCTGTTGCATTTGACAGGGCCAGTGATTCCATAGAGCCACGAGGAGTCTGTTCTGTGGGTGTCATGTCCTCTGTGTATTTCAGGGAACTGAGTGGACGACGGGGCCGGCACTGCTGTGTTGATATGCCACCTTCTTCTTCCTCTTCCTCCTCCTCGTACTTGGGAACTGGGATGCTGCCTCGGGTTTCACTAAAGCTTTGGCTGGACATATCGCTGTAGCTCTCCTGGGACATCAGTCTCCCTGGGTAATAGTCTTCATGACATTCCTTGATAAAGCTGCCACCATGCCCCTTCATGGCCATTGATGAGCTTCTTTTGGGGTTGCTGAAGTGCTTGGCCCACACGTCAGGCTGGGCTCCTGCTGCCTGCCCTCCTGGGCCATAGGAAGTTCTGATGTTGCACTGGCTGAGGAGCTGCAGAGGACTCTGGGATTGGTTCTGTTCCATCTTATTCCCATAATGGAAGGGCTCATCCCGGCTCCTCCAAATAGGGTCACGGTTGAGGCTGGGTGTCTGACTGGATAGGCTGAGGAGATCCATCTGCATGGACAGGGGGTCCACATCAGCTGAGAGCCGGTTAGAACTCACCTGTAGCTGGCTGTGCTGGCCCAGCATGGCCTCCTCTGTTTTGCCTTTGTTCTTGCCAATTTTGGCACTGCGGCGAGACTCCTTGGCTCTGGCATTCTGGAAGGCCGAATCGGACGAGTCAGAGCCATTGGGGTCCTCCCCAGCACTGCAGGCCCGTGAGCAGAATATCTGGCCCTGCTTTGGGAGGAACGGTCGCCCCAGGAGGGACTTCTTACAGTGAGCACAGCAGAAACAGGTCTCGGTAGCATGCCAGTGTTGGCCGTCATAGGTCATTTGACCTTGGTCGATTCCTGGGAAGCAAGAGACAGAAAGGAGGCTGAGGAGCTGTACCAAGCACTACAACACCACATGAAACAACACCAAAACAAAGCAAAACAAACAAAAAAACTACTTCACTTGCTCTATGACCAGGCCCCAGGCAATCAGTGCCCACATCCTTATCCAGTAGAATAAGTTAGAACTTATTCTACTAGTCAGCTGACTTCTTAACTTCCCTTGGTAGCAGCATGGAAAATGTAGATCAGAACAGCTTAGCCATGAATTCTGCCAGAGACACATTTTCCCCAAATAGCAACCGAAGTTGAGCATCCTTAATCGAAAAATTCAAACTCAAAATGCTTCAAAAGCCAAAATTTTGGTGTCAACAAGATGCCGCTAGCAGAAAATTCTGTATAATAAAATTGCTTCGTACATAAAAGTATTTAAGATGTCACATAAAAGTATCTTGAGATTATATGCATAAGCTATATAGGAAATATAAATGAGTTCCATGTTTAGACTTGTATCCTAGTCTTCAAGTACCTCATTATAGACACGCATGACTCTATAGGTTGAACCAATTCTGCTCCCAGACACGCCACTTAAGGGATAGTCAATCTGGGACAGTCCTAGTCTGATAAAGCTCTTGATTGTTTGAGCTGAATTTCTACCAGGGTTTCTGTTTTCCAGATGAGGAAATGCAGACACAGAAGGTTAATGGCTTGCCTAAGGTAATAAAATTAATTAGGCATCAGAGACCAGATCTGTACTCAAAAGTCTTGCTCTGAAAAGACAGTCCTGTCTTCTTTACTCTACTTAGGAACCTGCTTCTCAAGAGTCTTGTCCACTGCCAATAGTAGCCCTGAGTACTTCCTGACTTTTCCGTATAGTGTCAATGCCCCTTTCTATCACACCATTGTCCACACTTACACGTTTATTACATATCTCTTTCATGGAAAGAGGTGCTGTATGGAGACAGGGTCAGAAGTCTCCATGGGGCCTCCAGGCCTATGTAATAGTTCTTCCTACTTATAGTGGATGGATAGATGAACTATATCACTACTCGCCATCAGACATAGGGGACTTATGGCAGCTGCTTGTTGGATGCTATAGTGTGAGTATCTGTTTCTCCCTCAAACTCCATGTTCAATTCCTAATGCTAGTATTAGGAAGTAGGATCCTCTGAGAGTTAATTTGATCATGAATGTTCTGCCCAGATGAATGAACCAATATCCTTGCAAAAGAGACCCAAGGGAACTTGTTCATCCCCTCTCCCCTATGGTGACATAATGAGATACCAGCTCTGAGCCTAAAAGTGGACCTTCCCAGACACCAAATCTGTCAGGTCTTTGACCATGACCTTCACAACTTCCAGAGCTTTGAGAAATGTTTGTGCTGTTTAGAAACTGCCCATCCTGTGGTTCTGAACAGACTAAGTCAGTGGAAAGGCAAGAAGTAGGGAGGGAGGAGTGGGCTCCAACTCTCAGTGGGGGAAATCCTGCTTACTCTTGATAAGGAAAAAACATGGGTATGTTTGCAAAAAATGTCATCCTGTTGGTACACAATCTGCACCCAGTGTCATCAGGAAAAGAGGAAGCACAGTTCCTTCATGGCTGTCATGGTCCTGTGTGCTAGGAAACCTCCCACATCCCTTCAATCCTTCTTTTGCTTCTTACTAGTTCCTCTGGCCTCTTTTGATGGAAAGAGGGCGCTTCCCTTGGGGATGCCATCTCTGGGCCAAGCCATTAGCTTAGGGCACTGAAACCACCCTTGGCACAAACTTTGGCTAGTAGTTAACAGTATCTTCTCGTCCTGGGTTCTGGTCTAGGGATGGCTCATAACCAGCAACAGGGCAGTGAGAGGGATACCTGGGGCTGCTTCTAAGAGAGCTATAACAGGCAATAAGCAGGCAGTTGGAGTCCCTGCCCAGGGGAGAGCCTATTAGAATATCGACCCTTGGGATTCCTGTGGGCAGGAACCAATCTCATAAGACTGAAGTGCGTGATGATAAAGGTATCCCCACAGCACTAAAACAAACCTCTATTTTTAGTGGCCAGAGTTTCACGGCCTGGATTTTCAAAGTGTGACATCCACACTCCTTTCCAGAGGGGATAAACCAAGAACTGGGAGGGAACTGATTGCTGGGACCAGAGTGCTGTAGGAAGCAGCTTATTCCTAGCAGGTTCTACCCCTGCTGACTCTCGTGTTACTAGAGCTCAGAGACAGGTGTGAAGGAGGCAGATTCTTCTCCCACTAGATGTTCCCCAAACTGGGGAAGGAAGTGTCTCTTCATGTAGGCACTAATCCCTATGGACAATAAGAGGGAAACTTCATGAGGACAAGAGCTGTTACGTGGCAACCCCATTTGAGAAGGGCACTGTGTACCTAACTCTACCCCCATGACCGCCAGCATTCCCAGGGAGACTGAGGATGGAAAGCTGGGATGGGGGCTGGGAATAGATATCTCTATGCTGGGGCTCCAGTTAATGCTTCTGCCCAGGCCTAAGGGGGAAGCAACAGACTATAAAGGGATGTAGGAAAACATGCTGAGAGTGGGGTCAGCCCAGCTCCGCCACTTCCGGGGGCTGTGAAACTGCTGATGCCCATCTGCTGAGTTTGAATCTTAATTCTGTGCTTTCCATCAGTGTGGGTCAAGGCCTATTTCAACTCGAGGCCTTGCTTTCCCCAGCAGAGGCACAGGGATGAGACTAGCCTGTTGTGAATGCTTCGTCTCAGCCTGCTAGCCACTGAAACTGTCTTTCCTTTGGTTTTATTAGGTCTGAAAGCCTAGTTCTCTCTTTGCAGAGGGCCACTGCCTAGATGCTGTCCAGAAACAAACCCCCAGATGACTTCTCTTTCCTCCTCTGCAGATTTTCTTCTCTGTGTCGAGAGCTCATTTTGGTATCTTCAGCTGCCAGGGACCATTGGTGACATGCAGTTACTTAGTGTGGTATCCCACAGCTGTGTCCTTGCCCATGCTCCACCAAGAACTTGGAAGGTCGGGTCCCCTGCCCTGTCCACCACCACACTGCATGGGAGCATGGGAGTGGGCTCAGAGGTGTTAGAGGAGGGCCAAGATTTCTGGAATGGGGGCTCACAGGACAGGGTGGGGGGGGGAGTGCAAGGGCGGCAAATTACGAAGCAGCCAGGCAGGCAGCTGAACATTGCCTCTGATAAACACCACTGATGTCAGATGGCCCTCTGAACTGCTCCTGAACTCCAAACATCTGGAAAAGGGCTCTGTGTTCAACATCTAAGCATGCCTTAAAAAAAAATCCCCCCTCAAAGCCCTCTAAGCCCTCTCTAAAGGAGCATGCATCTGCTGCCACCACGGCCTCATCTGTTTATAAGACTGTTTACTCCGCTATGCACAAGCAAGAGTCCTGTTGCCTTGGTAACGGCTGCCTGATGTAGGATCTGCTCTGAACAGCTGCATAAATATGGAATATTTGTACAGTATGGGCTGAGGTGTGGCATTGATGGCTGGGGCACACATGATACACACAGCAGGATCTCACTGTCCTAGGGATATGACATTTTGCAGAAAAGTAGATGTAAAAAAAAATCAGGAACAGCAACTTAACTATAGCAGCAGACAGACTGCAGACCACAGCAGTCACCTTTTCTAGTAAAATACAGATGGGTGCCTTTTATGGGTTCGAGAGGAAAGGAGGATGCCAATAAAAGCTGTGGACTGCTGAAGGAAGACGGAAGACTGAGGGGCCGTTTGAGGTACACACAAGACAGTCATAAACAGAGTTTTCTCTCCCAGCTTCTGGGAGAAAACGCTTAAGTAGCCATTTGTGGCAAGGCTTTTGGCCTCTGTGGAAAGGGAAAGGACACAGAAAAGCTATTAGAAGATGGTGTCGATGTTGTGGGTTAAGTGTCTAATACTCTGTCTTTCCCACCTGGGTAAGCACTGAAACCCACCCATTCACAGCCTGGAGTCAATACAACACACCACAGTCTCTACGATGGCCCCACCCACTTCCCTGTCTCACAGCTTAGATCCCTATTTCCTAATTAAAAGCACCTAATTAAAAGCTGATATATATATCAGCATGTCTGAATGTGACAATCCTAGAAACAGAACGGTTTCTGGGCACCTGGTCAAGGTGGCATTTGGTGAGAGGGGAGGGCACTTTGGGGAAAGGGTCTTGCCATCACCTAAGTCTAGAAGGCACCGTTAGAGCTCTCATTTCTGATGAACCCCAGGGAAAAGGCTGCTTCCTTTGAATCCTTACAAAAGCGAAGTAGAGCAAAATGGAGCCATGAGAGGGGAGTCTCCACATCTCCTCACTGCAGGTATGATATTGGCAGCTTCCAAACAGGCTTCTTGGAGTTTCATGACCACAGAAAGGCCATAAATATTTGTCCACTGCCACCATTTCTTAAACAGTGCTGTCCATTCCCAAGGCACCAGAAAAGGCAAGGCAAAAGCCCATCCGATGAAGCTGACCTGCTGAAGGGCTGAACGAATGGGGAGGATTCTCACCTCCTTCAATCTGCCGTGAACTGGGGACACACAGTTTGTAAACTGTTCATTTTGCTCTGCCTTTGCCTAGGTTCACTGTTGGTGAGTCTCTAGAAGGCAGACTTGCTGGAAGCCAGTGGCCATCCCTCATTACCAAAGGACCCCACCCCATTCTTCCCTCTGCCCATTCCTGATTTTTGTCTAAAATGTTGTGGAGGGTTATGTCCATGTCCCCCACATTTTCCTTTTGGGACTTCACACTTTTTCCTGAGAGTGGAAAAGTACGCCACAAAGTCCTACTTGAAGGTAGATGGAGGGCCAAGTCAGGACTGATAAGGTCCCATCCAGAGGAACTAACTAGGAAACTGGTGTGTCAATTCCTTCCTCCTCTTGAGAACATAAAGACTGTGTATAACCAGAACAACATTTCAAACACCCTGTGAACATCATTTGCTCCTAAAAGATGCCAAGAGAAGGCAAACTGAACTGACACAGAGAAAAACAAAACGACAGGCATTATTTTTAACCCTTCATCTACCTCTACCTGAGGCCAAATACTCTTTGGCTTTTCTGGTAAAATGATCCAAAAACTTCCTTTCACTGAAGCTGTCAGGAGTTGGTTATATTATTATTATTATTATTATTATTATTATTATTATTTATAACCAAAGGGATTCTAACTGTGTCAGACGCAAGGGGAGCTCATCTCAGAAGGATCAAGCTGAGTGCCAAACATGGCCTTACCTATGTGCTGGGCACAGGTGTCACAGTATTCTGCGTACAGGGACTCGAAGCAGTGGCAGCAGTAGGGCCTGCCTTCCTTCATGATGTAGCGCTGGCCCCCCAGCACAGTCTCACACTCAAAGCAGCAGAAGTGTCGCATGTGCCAGTGCCGCCCCTCAGCTTCCGTGCACTCGTCTGCAAAGATGATCTGGAGACGGGAAAGTCACTGGTCAGTGTCCAGGGCTCACGGCGACGACACAGCGGAGAGAGTTGAGAAAGCAGGTGTGACCCCTAAGCTGACAAGCAGCACTGCACGCCCGTAAGCTAACCCCATGCATACCAGCTCATACCTGAAGCACAATTCACTACACTGACACATTTTGGTGGAAAGCGAATGGTCTCCCTTGGGAAGAGTAGCTTCCACACACCAGCTTCATTTGGCTGAGGCACAGGGTTTTCTAAAACGGGGAATGTCATATGAATCCTTGGAACTCTCTTCTTTTTCTTCTTGAAAACATCAAACTGGGCAATGCTTGGAATGCATTTAGTATGATAATAATCCTCAGCTAAGAAAAGTGACCGCTGCTTCCAGATGAGAGGCCACGTGGCCATGGTTTTTAACACTTCCCTGTGCCTCAGAATTGGTCACCTTCATGTCTAATACTTTCCTGGTCCTGAGAAGTATTTCAAGTCAAAACATGACATCGGAGTTGTTTGAAACTTCAAAGCATATATTTCAAAATTATTATGATGCTACAATAATCAGTTAAGTGTGGTGTTGTCATAAAAACTAACATATAGATGCACTCTCTGAATTAAGAGTCCGGGAAGCAATTTGGTTGTCAGACTTGGTGCTAAGATCAACTATGGTAAAATAGACTCTAACACATAGGGCTGGGACAACTAGAAATCTCACGGAAAACCATCAGCTGAATCCCTCCCTCCCACCATAAACAAAAAGTAACTGAAGGGGGATCAGTGAGCTAACAGGAAAGAGTGATGAAGGCCTTCAAAGAAACGAAAGCTGTAAATCTTCTTGACCTTGGTCTGGAAAATGGTTTCACAGTCATGGCAACACAAATGTGTATCACAATCTGTAAACAATAGATCATGTGAACTTCATCAAAATAAACACTTTCATGTTTTGAAGAATATCAGTAAGAAAGGAAAAATACGAAGTGAATGGGAGACCATCTCTGTGAACCATGCACCCGACAATGGACTTATGTCCAGATCATATGAGCAATCCTCACAAGTAGAAAAAAATTCATCTGATTGTGAAAAATGAGCAAAGGCTTACAACCCATAGTTCTTCCTCCCCAAATTAATAAACAAAATATTTGTTTATTAGAATAAACAAATTATTATTATTTGTCTATTACTATAATAGACAAAAAATATTTAAAAGGTACTCAACATTATGAATGGCTAGATAATTATACATTAAAATATAACTGTGGCCTTATTTTATACCTGTTAGGTTGGGTATAATAAAAAACAACACAATGGCAGGTGTAGGAGCTGGAATTATCTTACCTTGGCAATAAGAATGGAAGGTGGGACTGCTGCTTTAGCAGATAGCTTTGCCTTCCTTCAAAACTTAGGCTCAGAATTGCCATGAAAAACATTCAAACTTTAAAATTTATGTGTATCTAGAAACGCACACATCAGTGGCATTGTTCATCACGGTTAACAGCAGAAACAAATGCACACCAGTTGCTAAATGGCAAAGCCAGATGTGATATGTGCATAAAACTGTTCATACAGAGTAATGCAATTCGTGCTCAGCCACGGAGAGGGATGAGGTGCTAGTATTTACTACACCAGAAATTGACTTTGAAACCATCACACGAGGTGGAAGAAGCCAGAGGCAGAAGGAAACGTGAGAAGATTTGATGTATATGAGATGCTAGCACTCGTGAATCCAGACAGGGACAGGGCTGGGCGGTGGGGTTAAGAGGGGAAGAGCATCGAGTGGGTGGAGGGTGCTGACTGTTCATGGTTGTGAGCATGATTTGCGATCAGGTAGCAGTGGTGCTTGTTCAACTTTGTGGTGTGCGCTTGTGCACTTGAGGCAGGAGGCGAAGGGACTGCCTAGAGTCCCAGAGTTTGACCCGTGTTCGCTTTTTAAACAAGGGCCAGGGAGTTGAGTGCCTCAACTTTACTATCAGAATTCACATTAACGAAGGCCCACCAAGTCTCTAGAAAAACGGAAGCCCTCAGGCAGTTTGAATGGACAACTGGCCTTGTCCTGGTGGAGCTGGCAGGTAGACATTCTGATTTCTTACCACAATGCTTTCAAACACCTGTGGTGCCAGGGGTGAAAACTGCCATCCAGACAGTTACCACTGATCTCCAAAACGTTTGTAGGGAAAAAAAATCAAACACCATCATCCATTTTCTTTCTCTCACTAATCAAGTGTTCCAGAGAAATTTCTGATGAGGACTTTCTAGGTTTTTAGCTGGAATCTAAAGTTGCTCAATAGCTTCTTTATATTTTTATTTATTTATGTGTGAGTGTCTATATATTTAACTGTAAGTTAGCTGCATGGCATTTGAGGACTTTGATGGTTGTAGTATGTGGTTCCTCACCCTGTTCTTATATGGGAGACCCTGAATCCACCATGCTGACTGTTACGGGTCATACGGCAGATGCCAGGTCCACCATGATTGGGATATGGGTGATGGTTCTCTCTGGAAAGAGTTAACATAAGAGGGTAGAGTCAGCTAAGGTTGTTTCCCCATATGGGAAGCCAAAGGCCATGTGCATGTGTGGTATAACAGAGGGATCGTGGGGCAGGTAAGAATACTGGAAATAGTCTATGGGGGGGGGGAGAGATGCAGACAGAGAAACAGACATCACGACACGGAAGGTGCCACTTCTACTTTCCATGGATATACCAGGAAAGTTAAACTCTTCCCACAAGGATGGGGCTCTGACCTCATCACAGGCTGCACAGCGCGGCTTCAGGCATTCAGCATGGTGCCTACCACAGTAGATCTTCCCATCTTGGTAAAAGTAGATCAAGTCAACCAAAAGCTCGTTGCAGACGGTGCATATAAAGCAGGGTGGATGCCAGCAGATGCCGTGGCCAGCACGTGATGCGAACACAGCGATGTCCCCACCCTTAATCTGCCCTCCGCACTGCAAGGCAAACAGAAACAGCATCAACATCAGCTGTGTAAGAATGACATCCAGCGACTGCCAACAACTAGCTCCTAGGGCGTGATATGCATAATAGTTAGTGTGTCCCCTGCTTTTTACATACCTGGTAGGGCACATTTACCTTGTTCTTCCTCGGAGCCCCTACCCCAGGGCCTAAGTAAGACAACTTAAGTAACAGGGAATGAGAAACATGAAGGTGTGGGATGGATTCTCAGCATGGTAGTGTAACTGGAGGCTGTGCTTTCGTTCCCCGGCCGCCCAGTTCCGAGTAATCACACAGAAACTTATTTTAATTACAAACTGTTTGGCCTATTAGCTCAGGCTATTATTAACTAGCTCTCACGACTTAATTAAATTAACCCATTTTTACTAATTTGTTATCACCATGTGGCTGTGGCTTATCAGTAATGTTTTGACATCTTTCTCCTTTGGCAGCTGCATGGCGTCTCCCTGACTCTGACATTTTCCTCCCTTTATCTCTATTTGAGTTTTCCACCTGGCTCTATTCTGCCTGAGTATTGGCCAAAATCAGCTTCTTTATTAACTAATGGTAATAAGACATATTCACAGCATACAGAGGAACATCCTACCTCATAGTAGTTTATAGGGTGGGTGAGATCTGCAGTCAACAAGTCAACTTATAAAGCATAGTAAAAAGGCCTAACCACTTCCTACATATCCCAAAGTTCATGCAAAGGCATAGCCACATTCACACTGGCAGGAAAGGCCACAGAGAGAGGGCTTGGCTGAGGTGGTGGCCTGGATTACTGAACGGGAGGGTAGAGGGCACATATAGTCCACTCACTCTTAAATTGCTTCTCCCTCTTCCCTATGCCTTTCAGGCATGAGTTTTAGCTCTCTACAGCATCTCTTCGTATAATCTTGATTGAAAAGTACCATAGGATAGACAAGGCAGAAATCACAGATGACTCGTGCTTACTGCTGGGATTAAAATACAGAGCTATGTTCTGAGGGTAAGACATGGTGGTCTTCCCTGGAAAGCAGGAACGGGGTGAGGTTGGCCCAGGCAGGTGATATTCCTGTCCTGCTTTAGCAATCTCCTCTACCACACCCTAAGCACTGCTACAGCAGAGTAGGCAGAAGGTAACTCCAGATCCTTCAGCTCAATGAGGTGCCGAGGAGATGGCATGGGGTCTCTCAGACTTTGACAAAGAACCCTCAAACTCTGAATAAATTCAGGTATCATCCCTCACACCATCCTTGAAAGGTTATCCATGTTGCGATGATCCTGGATGAGAGACTGACTCGTGGTCCAGATCAAAGGATGAAGGCATGACCCTGTCTGGTCCTTCCAGTTCTTTACATGGCTCTCCACGAACTCTGCCATGATAAGCACATCCCAGGCCTTTAGTTCTCCTGATCCAGTCACAGGCCACTATCTCTTGTCCACAGGAGCTACCCTCCTGCCTTAAGGTCCCCATGCTAGTTGTTTCTCATGTTCAAGATCTGCAAGTCTCTTCTGCACACCTCTGCATGCCCTTGCTCCAGATGCCACCTTCTCAGAGGGGTCTTCTATGACCCTTGAGACTGCAGTCATCACACCTTCCCAGTCCTTCCTGGCCCCCTTCTGCAGCAGCTTTTCTATTTTACTGACTTAATTTATTGTTGTATGACCTCCCCTGGTGCATAGTTATTTATGTGAAAAAGACAAAGCTTTTGTGTCTTTTGCTAACTGCTGTATCTTTGAGACCTAAAAGAGGGCTGAGCACATACCAGGTATTCAATAAAATGACTGGAGAATGAACTTCTTCCCGGCTCCAATCCATCCTCACCTGTTCACAAATGGCTCCTGTCATGGTAACGGGGAAGGGTCTGACGTTCCCTCGGCCCAAATTCTCACGTTTCCTCTGGTTGCTGAACAGCTTCAGCTCCCTCTTCTCTTCCTCATCCAGGGAGTTGCAGTATCGAACCTGAACACACAGAGGACAGCATGGAGGAGGCTTCATCGCTGTAGGGGAAGTACTGACGTCCCCACTCAGGGCTCACAGCTTGGAGCTACTTAAGGTGAGCCAGCACCAAGACGGGTGATAAGCAAAGGGAAGTCTATAGGCTGTGAACTCTGGAGCCCATGCCTCCGGAAGGAGAGACATTCTAGAATGGCTCCTCACCCTTCACACTGTCCCTACACTCACACTGAAGTCACCAAGAGTGGCTCAGAGACGGCAATTTCCTGGAACATTCTCCTTACAAACTGCAAGGAGCTGAAGGTTTTATGTGTCCGTGTCTGTGTGAACGAGCCCTGCACCAAAGAATGGCCCCGATCTGGTTGTCAGATACGCACATCATCTGTGCTCCATCCTGCTCTGGGATATGAGAATAGGCAGGCATTTGTCTGGACTCTAATGTGACAATAGGAGAAAGAGACTTCCTTCTTTTTATAACGCAGAGTGTCGAAGAATTAAGGGAGGGGCAGCAAAGGCACCTGCATCTGGGATCTGCCACTCTGTCCCATTGTTTCTGCACTTGGTGATCGTGCCATGATCCTGAACTATTATTTATTAATGATACTTTTAAATATGACTCACTTCAAGAAACTTGGATGCATTTACTTAAAAGGAAAACAGGTTATTACTACATAAAGAGAAGTCAGTCAGCCGCAAAGCTGGGAAGGTAACTCTCAAACAGAACAAAACCATACTGTTAGATCCCAGCCGACCACTGCACCTCCGGGAGATGCTAAAATGGATGTGCTTACTGACGGTGGGAGAACAGAAAGGGCTGTAGTGATATTCGGAGACCTGCCGGGACCAGACTGAGACTTCTTCCTTGTCCCATCACTGCATCACGAAGAGAAAATGTAATGTAAAAGGAACCAGGCTCTCATCACACATTCAGTTTCATTTATTGCCATGCCGCACCCCACCCAAGCCATACTTATACCTTCCTTTGGGAAAGGTGGTCCCATGCGTCTCATGATTTTTTTTTTCTGGAGTAATTCAGATATCAGACTACAGATATGTTGACTACACTATGCAGACAATTTTTCATTAAGAAAATAACAAGCAAAGCTCTCAACTAGGACTGCTGTGTGTTAGTTTGAAAGTCAGAGCAATTAAGTCTATTCAAATTTGTGCTGTCCAAATGAAAAGAGATGGATGATCAAGCATTTGCTTTCGAGTCAGCCTCTGCCTTCAGGGGAGGCCACGTCCCCATGTCAGATGAGCAGATCTTGTCCACTGGCTCTCATGTATCACGTCTTACCCACATGGAGTCATAATCCAAATGGTGTCTAATGAAAGCTCAGTTACCCATAAATGGAGTGAACCACTACGAGGGCAGATCAATTCCCTCCCTCAAGTGACAGTTAAAAAAAAAAAGTATTCAGGGGAACGTTCTAGAAACCTAACAGCCCACAAAACATGGCCGTGATGACATTTTATGGGCATGCTTTTAAAAACAGGCACACCCCTTCTGCTTGTAAAAACTTGCGTTTTCACCTCCAGATTCGTTATCCAGGCATCCGGTTGCAGTGTTTGCTTTCATCTTTAAAGGAGTCAGCTTTTGTGTTTGTTTTATGAACTCTGAAATAGGCAGTAGGAGAGAGAGGCGCCGCTTTCTAGGGAGCTGCTTCAGGTTTTGGGATGCTGTCTCACTTCTTCAGATTCATGTATTTAGTTTTGCAGTGCTGAGGATTAAACCCAGGGCTTTGCACATGCTAGACAAGGGCTGGACTAATATCTGCACTCTCAGTTCCTCAGCATTCACAGCGCCAATTGCTCCTTCTAAGCCAGCAAGACATTGCTCAGGAGGCAGAGATACTTGCTGCAAAATATGATCTTCTCAGCTTGAGTTTGATCCTCAAAACCCACATGGTGGAAGGAGAAAACCAATTCCCATAAGTTGTTCTCTGACCTCCCCATACATGATGTGGTATGTGAGTGTTACACACACACACACACACACACACACACACACACACACACACACACACACCTCATAAAAATGTAAAAAAAAATTCCCTTTTATCTAAATATGTCACCTGAGACTCAGCTTATGCATTGGATGAGTTGGTAGGAACTAGCGTCCAGCTCTCTGCAGGGGTAATTCTTTCCTTTCAATTTAAATATTATGCTTTTGTTTTAAATAGAGAGCTAAATAGTAAAAATCTACAGGATTCTTGATTTTTGAAACCAGATACCTACAAATTAATTTCCAGCTTAGAAACCTAATCTCCTCCCACACCATCTTTTAGAAGCTTCCTTTCAGATTTCTTCTTTAGAATCAATATGATTTCAATAGATGGCCAGGTACGGGAGGGCCTCTGTAGCCCAGCACCCGGGAAGAGGAGGAGCAAGAGAAAGAGTTCATGAGCTGCTGACAGGGTTCCAAGTTATCCTGGATAAAGTGAAAGCCGCTCTCAAAAACTCAAACTCAGAATCAAATAAATAAACGCTTGCTTCCAGAGCTCTGTTTCTGGAACTAGACAAAAGGAATGTCCACGTTCACACTACTCTCAAAATACAGATGGCTGACTCTGACAATTTGGACTCTGGCTTGACAAACGTCCTCGTGAGAGCTGCCAGTCTAGACCCGGAACTTTGGCTGCCCTCGACTCGGAGAACCTGTGCATTCACTGCTTAGGAAACAATCCTCAAAGTCTGAGAGACTCACAGCGTTCCTTCCAGTCCTGAAGCGGTCCTTAGTCATCCTCCCAACTCCCACAAGCAACTGGCAGGACACATTCCAGTCAGAAAACACTGGCCCGGGCTTTCAAACAGCACTCCCTGCTTCTGTACTACTCAGTCACGCCAGGCTTGGAGTCTAACCCTGTCCAGGGTGAGACTGCTTTTCTTTGGGGGGGTGAGGGGTGGGATAAGGAGTGGTCACCCAAATTATCAGCCAGTTTCTTTACATTCTAATTAAAGAAGCTAAAATTTCATATCAATGGCCGGATGGCTTTTTGGCAGCAATCTTACTGATCACAACGATTAGGAAAGGGGTCAGTCCAGCAGAAGCCCCCTCCAAACACCTTACCTCATTGTCATGAGGCGGCAGCTGGTGCAATAGCTGCTTGATTCGCAGTTTCTCTCCAGGACTGTTGACATATGGGACTTTCTCTTCTGGAAGGCAGCTGTAGTACTGGTGCACCTGAGGGACAGAACACACAGAGCACTTGTGACCATGTCACCACTCCTCACCACCCTGAGAAGGGCTCACAGTGGGACACTGGCTGTTTCCATTGCTCCTGCCACCCCTGGGGACAGTCAACTGCTGTCCTTTCTGAGGCATACACAAAAGAGCACCCTAGAAGACAGAGCCAAGTGAATTGCCCCTCACTTGGGGGCTATCCTTCTCTGGCAGGGGAAAGGAAAAGCCAAAGGAATTCCCTGTCACAGGAGAATTCGGCAAAGGCACAGGTGAAGCCAGAGGGCAAGGCTTTCCCAGCCGATTCCCCCCGCAGCGTTGCTCTACCATTTTCTGTGCCGCTGTCCCATGGGAGGCACCTCTCTAGCCAAGGGATGTGTCGGTGCCTGCCTAAATAATGTTCTCAAACCTTTCCCTGGCACTCTGTAGGTTCCTGGGTGTCTCAGCCTCCACCTACGTCAAAAGCCCTCCAGGTCTTGAGCCATGTGCAGTGCAGGAAGCACTGAAGTACACTGAGCAGAGACTCAACGCCAGCTGCAGAGCGTGTAACTCAACAGCAGCAACAGCGCAAGGACCTTTGCATATCCTGCAATGCTGCTCTATTTAACTGGTATAGCCCGGCAGTTTCTGAGGTTCACTTGCTTTTAAACACCGGTGAAAGTACCCAACATTTGCCTAAGAAGAGAAGGAAGACATTCTACTAAGGCTATGGACGTCTAGTGTATAGGAGGAGGAACATAACAGGCCTAGTTTAAGTGGGTTTTTTCCTTTTTTTTTTCTCCCAGAAGCAGTAAGTTTCTAGTATTTTGTAGATTTAAAAGAATATGTGTGTGTGTGTGTGTGTGTGTGTGTGTGTGTGTGTGTGTGGATATATATGGAAGAAATGGGAAGGAAGAAAATAGTGTAATTATATTTTAATTGAAATATTTATTTTTATATATTTATGTGTATGTATGTGTACTCCTGTGAGCATATGTGTATCAGTGCTTATAGGTGTCCCTGAGGGTAGTGGGCAGTCATGTTGGTGAGACTTTATGGGTGTAGTTTCTGACATCCTAGGAGACAGTCTGACTCCCTGATCCTTGGTTCTGAGGCATTTCTTTGCTCATGGACAAAGACCCAGCCAGTCCTTACTACAGAAGTGGCACACAGACACCTTTAGACCAACAGAAACAGAAGAAGTGACTCACCAGGCAACAGAAGTAAAAGCTGACAGGAAGGGCTTGGAGGATGGCCCAGTCAGTAAAGCACCCACCGAGCATGCATGCATACCTGAGTTTGCATCCCCTGCATCAGCGTAAAAAGCTGGTAAGGTAACAAGCATCTATGACCCAGAGTAGAGGTAGAGAGGTAGGTAGATATCTGGAGCTCATTGGCTAGCTAGCCTAGCAATTAGCAAGTTCCAGGTCCAGTGAGAGACCCTGGCTTCAAATATAATAAGGTGGACTGTGACTGAAAAAAGATACCCGTGTTCACCTCTGGTCTCCATATGCACATATGTGTACAAACTACAGAAATAGGAACATATAATATAAAAAGATACACAAATAGACAGACAGACAGGATGCTAATAATCACAAATAGACAGACAGACAGGATGGTATTTTATAGAAGAAACAACAAAAAAAAATCCTCATAGGCTCAGACACCATAGAAGATGCTTCCAAGATCTCCCATAGAGCAGTATAAGCAGCGCTCATGAAACAAGACCCTTATTCAGTGAGCTGGGGATGGAGCCTGGGCCTTTAATACCATCACAATCTCACACTCCATATCATCCTCCACATGCTCCCTCCAAATCCTTTGCCTTAGGAGTAGTGAGTATGAACAAATATTCCGGGAATGCTGGGTGAAGAGCTGTAAAAGTCTTGCTCACTTTGATTTCTAGAAACCAAGTTATGAGTATTAGAGGGACAAGTGGGTGACAAAGCTTTGAGAAATGTGAAAGCCATCCTTAGTTTTAAAATAATGGGACCCATTCACCATGGCGTGCCCATCACCCTTTGAATCTAGTTCCGAAGGCAACCACAGACTTCACACTAGCTGGCTTTTGGGAGAAAGTCTGGGTTGGTGTAATCCTTCCTTCGAGGTGTTTGTCAGGGGGCCATGTGCTGGGTAGAAGGAATGGCTATGAGTTTTGTAGGTAGGTCACAGAAGGCTAGCACTCCTGAGAAGTGGCCCCTCATATCGCAGACCAGCTTGAGATGAGTAGCTGGCTCTCTGGCCTCTGACTACCAGACTGTTCTGGGAATGCCTTCTGAGAGTCCTTGTACCGTATGTCTCACTGGACAGCGGCCAGGTATAAAGCAAAGGACCCAGTCTCTGTAGGTCGGCACTTGAGCTTTGCCCCCCTGTCACAACACTGCTGGAAGAGGTCTTCTTAGACGTAATTGCGAGAACTTGTGAGGCTGAGGCAGGATGATTGTGAGCCTGAGGCTAACCTCAGCTATGTAGTAAAACCCTGTCTCAACAATCATAGAAGAAAAAGAAGAAGAGAGATGTGAAAACGAAGAGGAAAAGGCAGTTTCTCTCTAGCCATTCTCAATATTTTCATAATTGTGAAACAAGCAGAAATCACTAACACGAGATGAAGGCCTGCCACGCTTGATAAGATAGACAACGGGAGCTTGCCCGATCCTCCTGCCAATCACTGCTCATTATCTTCTCGGCACTCATCCCGAGCGCCCTTCTTTAGTGGTACATTGAACCAAGCCTGGCGGTGATGCTGCCTACACTCACCCCGGGTGGAATCCTCTCCGTACCCTCTACAGCCATAGCAGAAAGGCATGACCCTCTAGCTGTGGCTCTGTCATTTCCGTTCTGTAAGGTTCCCAAGCAAGCTACATAAGTGTTCAGGCTCATCATAAGATCACGAGGACTAAATCAAAGCAGACACCTATAGCATAAATGCATGATGACGAACTACCCAGCCTGACCTAATCAAGATGGAAGACTCGAGATGTTTCACAGCCATGATGGTTGATCGTGGTTGTCAACTTGACTACATTTGAAATAAACTAAAACCCAAGCAGCAGGGCAGGCCTCTGAGAGATCTTCTGACTGGATCATTTGGGGTGGGAAGATCTATCCTAAATCTAGATCACACATTCTGATGGCACCCCCCACCTCCTTAAAGGATACGGAAGAAGGAAGCTTTTTTGCCTGCTTGCCCTCACTCTCACTGACAAGTCCATCCACTCTGTTGCTGAGGCTTTCCTTGCTGGGCTGGCATTAGAACCTACTTCTTTGGGATTCTAATGGGGACTGAAAACCAACAGCTTGCTAAGAATGCCCTAGGACTCCAGCACCAGGTTCAGACTGGGACTGCTGAGACATCCAGTCTCATGGGCTGATCAAGGGTCTACTGGATCCTTGGTCTTCTATCATGAGCAGCCATGGTTGGACTATTTGGACCACGGTCTATAATTCTAATAAATCCCCCTCTACACACACACACACACACACACACACACACACACACACACACACACACACTATTCATTCTCTCAGTTCTGCTCACTTTGAGAACCCTGACTAATACAATGGCCTTTTTCTCTTGTTAGGAACTGTAGCAACACTGGTGGTGTAGAGAGGGAGACCAAATCTGAGAGCCACCTCTCTTAGCCTAAACAAGAGAAATAGGTTGTGATGTAGTACATTACAATGTAAGTAGGAATGCTGTACTATTAAAATGAATTTGATTTCTAAGGATAAAAATGCCAGACTATTAGAAAAGCATGATGATTTCTCATTAGCTTCTCATCTCTCTCATCACAGAATCCCCCTGCCTCTGCTCTATTCTCTTCTCCCTGTAGTGCCTCCTTAGAGCTGAAGGTTCCTGAAGGTTCCCTCCAGCACTGCTTCAGTTCAGTCATCTGTCCCAGACCAACTAGCTTTTCTCAGTTATAATTCCCCCCAGAGAAGGGTCCTGGGTGCCCATACCCATCCTGAGCTGGGTCTACACTGACAGATGGGAGGCAAGAAGCTCCACACAGCTGAAGACTGGAGAACAAAGGAACTCCAAGGTTCACTACAGAACTGGGTGAAGGTAGGGCCAGCAGTGACCAAGAACTCAGGAGACATTTAGGGGCAAACACTTGCCTTGGTGGTACATTAGCTTCCTGTGGTTGGGACAAAAGCATCTGAGACCAATAATGTGAAAAGAGGACAGAGTTAGCTGATGGTTCCAGGCATTCAGTTCATAGCTTCTTGGTCCTGTCACTCTGGGCTGTGGCAAGGCTAAGAATGTGGCAAAGATGTGTGGTACAGCAAACTATCCACGTAACGGCTGCCAGGAAGTGAAACAGAGGGAAGGGGCCGGGCTCCAATATCCTCTTTCCAGGTTACCCACACTAACATCACTTCCTTCCACTAGGCTCAACCTCCTCAGGATTCTACCACTTGGCATAACATTAGTGCCACATGCATATGGCCTTGCAGGGACATTTCAGATGCAAACCGTAACAGAGAGCTGAGGGCCACCCTAAAGACAGCATTCTCAAGTCAACAGAGGCAGGGATGGCTTTCTGGTAATACAGCTCTTTCTTTTTTGGACAAATACCACCACCTGCTAAAATTCACATCCCATGACCACCACTGAAATTCATCCTTTCTACCAGCAACCTCTATAAGTCCTCATGTATAGAATCTATTAACACACTTTCATCCAGGGTCACCAACAAATTGCCGGAGAACTTAATACTTAGCAAGTTGACTGTTCCCAAAACATCAACTCACATCAACTACAATCACCAATATGATAAGCAATAACCAAGTCACTACCTCCGTCTCTTGAGGTTTGGCTGCCAGAAGTTCTAATGAGGACAGGGGCAAAGCTATCAGCTAGGGGAAGGGACAGTTCTTATGAGTCCCCAGTCAATGGAGCCTTCATGACTTCTCTCTTAGTGTCCCCTGCCATAAAACCCCAGGAAAGCTCCCAAACAAACAGCAACCAAACCAATGGAAACGAGAAACTGTGGCATCCACTTTTCAACACTACAAAA